ATATTTGAATATAGAGATTTCCCAGCTGGAAAGAAACAAAAGCATTGATAGCTCACAGCTCATTGATATCTCAACATTTTAAAGAGTTTTTCCTCAAAATCAGGTTTTTGGTTGCTAGTGCTAAAAAAAGTGCTTCAATATTTTTTTTAGGATATTTCAGACAGTTCATTGAAATGATACATGTATTGACAACACATTTCTTTGTTACACTGACAAAATGTAATTTTTGCAACTGTTTTAAACAAAACACTAGCTGCCTATTTCTCCACATACAACTTTTAGACTTAATCCTCGTTTCGATGTGATTGCTCACATATTTTATTACAACAGAAGAAGTCTGTTCCTTCACTGTTGTGTCAACTCAGCTTTTACTGCTATCCTAAAAGTACAGTTTGCTACAAATACAACCCAGTTAATTACCTGGTTCCAGTGACTCGTTTATAGTTGTTCTTTGAGTACACGGCCAGAATACTGACTCCAGAGCCAATATTGACCAACAGCAGSGGATAAGGATTCTCCAGTGGATAGGGTCTCTGCACACAGTGATCAGGGTCTGTCGGGTTTTCAAAGTAGTAGCACTCAGAGTCCACCGGACCACCGGACATCACCGAGTCGATGTACAGCACCCCTCGGATCAAACAGTCCAGCTCGTCCAGCTTGTGGAGCTGCAGGTCGGCCATCTTGGTTTTTTTCATTGAAACACAAGAAAAGATGTCAAAACATTTATAAGGTGTGCGTGTGTGTGTGCTGTGCTGAAAACAAGCGCCATTTATGCTTTTGCACTAAAAATATACATTTTCTGCACACGACAGTTGGGCAAAACCATATCGTGTGAAATTAATCATCAGAAAAGCCATCACTGCTTAATGCTTGGAACTTTGCGATTAGTGCCGCAGGATGACGGGACTTTTGTGTGCAACGTGCTCGAGAGCACGTGTGGTGCATTGGTGGAAGATGGCGCGGTGCTAACACTAACACTTGTGTAATCACCTTTAAAGCCACCATAAACTGGAGTACGAGGAAAGCGTACTCGATTTTTACAGGTGAAAGTTAGCGCTGGAAGGATATAATGCGGGGCCATGCCTGTTAGTAGGGATGTGGATAAATTTTTAATCCTACACCAATGTTAAATCTGACAGCGGATTCCAAAAGAACATTTCAAACCATACAAAATAACACCAACATCATGTGATTATCTGAAGTATGAGGGAGGTTATTGATGTTTGTTTAGGTGAAATCAGCTCATGTTTCTTGCTGCAGTTCACCAATGGGGCCTTTGTGACCATTTCACCTTGCTGTTTTCTAATTTTGCTCATAACTTCCTCAGTGTTCAAGATATCGCCATGAAATTTTAGGAA